ATTGGAAACAGAGAGACACCCAAAACAGCTGAGATAAAGGAATGTAGAAAACTGTATCAGCTGCTGACAGAGAAAAACAAAACAATGGTCCTACAATGGATTCCTGGTCACTGTGGCATTAAAGGCAATGAGCTTTCTGACACACTTGCTAAGAAGGGAACAACGATTTTGCAATGCATGGACCGGCCGATGTCTTTCCACACAATGAAGGCCTTAACCAGGAGAGAATTCCATACCTCAAGGTACAACGAAATTAAAGCTCGAACAAAGGAGAAACAGTGGACAGTGGCCCTCTCCGACATACCCGACTGGCCAAGAATCGAAGCCGTTGCTGAGTTTAGACTACGTACCGGACACGATTGCTTGGCAAAACACCTTCACAGATTGGGAGTATACACTCAACCCACATGCCCTCTATGTAACCTACATGAGGAAATGGAGAAGACCCACCTGATTCGATGTCCAGCTCTAAAGACAAGGACGGAAAGCCAAAGATACTGGGAAGCAAGAAGACTGCTAATGAACTGCTATAAATGTACACTCCCCCACTTGGGGGAAGCTGAAGTCAAAGATTAAGGGCTAATGATAAATATCATAAAGCCTGCCATTTGAAATAAATAAGTTCTAATAAGGTGGAAAATCAAAAAAGCAACAAGACTACTCAGTGCTATATGGATTGGTTACTTCTCAAAAAACCAATGAAGAGACAATTGCTGAAGTCACATAAATACTATCATCATCATTACTCATAATTATTGAAGCATAGTTTGATGCTATTTCCTGTCGAAAGAACGGTGCAGGTTTCTTTCCAAAAATAAAATGGAATATAGGAAACCGCATACCCACCTCCATAACAATGGTGTCTAATTGAAGTTGAGTGCAAGGTGTCCATTGACGAAGCAGAGCGAAGAGTTGTCCGATGCCGACATCGGGGGCAGAAAGGAGGGCCACACATTTGTCACACCACCATGCTCCACGAAGTCGACCTAAAGAGAGGACTGGAAGGCGTTAGTACAGGTTTCAAATAGTGGTAAAGCATAGCTGGTCCAATATATGCTGGAGATAAAGTCCGCCCAATCGGCAGTTGACCCACCACAACGATGATTACTACATGACGGCCAGCTGGAGAGACTAATCAAATTGTGATGAGAAGAAACGAATAAAAGACTAGCTAATAGAAAGGAGTAAGACAGGCGCAGATAGTACTTTAGGTAAGCTCTCACGCGTTAGGTGTAACCACTGAGTAGATTGGATATTTATTTGATCGATCTAAGTACTCATCCCATTGCCATAAAATCGGCTTTTGTAAATAACGGGGGAGTTGGTCAAATTCCAAATCATTGGCCGTCTTCCCCACCAGCCATCCGACCTAACTTTCAAGTTCACTTTATTGAAAATGAATTGGTCTTCATAAACAAACTGTCACAATCTGAGTGACGCAGAGATCATACCAACAGGAAATGAGTTTAGCCTGGTTATCAACACTAATCGAATTCCCACCCATTCCCAGATATTCGTACTTACTAAGAATAAGCGAAGAGACATTATCTTTGAGGGTTAAGATCCCTTAACATTCTTTTATGATACTCATAAACTCGTCTCGGGACGAGAAATCAAAACAGCGGCAATAAGCAACATAAATGAAGCGGAGGCAAAGTGTAATAAAGAAATAGGAGAAATTCGTGGTGCATTTGTTAGGAAACTGGTGTAAAAAATCCCCCCCCCCTTGATTGCCAGATTTTCACTTTTGAGGTGAGCAATGATAACTCGCATCCTACAGGTGATAGGCATGCCTACATAAGTTCCCCACTGAGAGCCAAACAGAAACGAACAACATGAATAAGAAAAGAAAAACAATTTTCACAACTGAATTTCACTAGCAAACTTTGCTATTTTATGAACCCAGTACGCATTTACTCAATATTCAGTTATTAGATTACAGGTTCATTTGAAATAAGGTGTCTTCTTATCAATGGCAGGAGTATCTAACCCCAAATGCTTATAAATTCGTTAACAGGGAAAAAAGGAGGACTACACATCACAAAAGAACATCTCTTTTCTTTTTTTCCCAAGAATACCACTCATATTCTAGCCACTTTACCATAGGTAATAGACTGACTGGTGTGCCAAATACTGCGCTAGCGGGCGCAATTATTAATAAACACATCTGTCAGGTCAGGAGCCACGAGAATGGTGCTGGAAAGTGCAATGCTGTGGCCGACTGATGGCAACTGTAGTTTAGAGCGAACTTCAAAGTCGGGTAATAGAGAATTAAGAGAAACAGCATCACAGATGGAAAAATTCAACCAGTGGATAACACGAGCAGCTAGATGGCAGTATAACTTGAACCAAAGAAAGCCTATAAATGGTTGCAGCGAGACAAAACTGGATTCAAATATCAATAGCCCAACTAGTCTTTTGCGGTTAAATATATATATAAATAGGCGTTGGCTGTCAGTAAACAAGGTGACAACACTGAACGAGAAAATAATATAAAGTCACATCGGAAACAGTAAAACGACATAACCAACTCATTACTTGATTAGGAAACCAGATATACGATTGCAGAGAAGATGGAAGTTTATTTGAAACAAAAACGTAACCCTAGGAAGACCTTCGATAACTGCTACGCAAAGTTGAATAAATATAAAATAATTATGAGAAAAATGCTGAAGCTTTGGTTTTAAATTACTCAGCGCCCACTTTTTGCGGATTAGTGATTGCGTGAAAACATCAGCTGTTGCTATTTGGCAACAAAACAAGGCTAAAATAAATGATTGAAGGCTAAAATTTCTCCTATCAACGAGCGGACAATTGTCTTACAAAAACTCTTGATTTCTGACAGGACATATGATGCATTTACTCACATGGACATACTACAGATGGCAGCGTGTGCATAGAATGGAGATAGATTTAATTTAAAAAAAACGTTGGTTGTTGACAAGAGCGAACAAACCCTAAGAATCTCACGAAAATTGATAAATATTTCCAGTTTTTAATCTCTGAACTATTTTTCATATTTCTACCCATAAGCGCTTCACTTTCGAAACAAAGCTAGAGGACCAAAGAGCCTTACATAATTTACCTGAATTAAGGAAGCACTCAACTGCATCATATTCTTATAGGAGTAGGTGGGTGACGGCTTAATACCTCAGAGTTCTGATGAGATATCACTCTACTAAATTCTTTCGATCTTCAAAAATCAAATTGGGGAAACAAGACAGTTAGTTGAAAAAAAACACTATTAAGAGTATAGGCAAGGCTAGGAGGATTGAAGAGACTCGAGCATGTATAGATAGGTGAGGTATACAGTTGTGTTGACCTGTGTACATGTCTGTTTGCATGGCTAATGCAAAGGAGTGAATGAACTTTCAGGTGAAACATGGGACTGCAAAAAATGACTCAGTGGGAATGACAGTTGAGAAGCGAATGCATTATAATATCCCTCAAACAGATATCAAAACGTATAAAAAACATCAAAACAGTTTAAGGAGGAAGCAGGAATGAGATCTCTAAATTCCGAACCGTAGCAAGAAAAGCCGCTAAGAGGGAACCAATATATTATTATTTCAACCTTCGTATAACCAGTACCTTACTTTAGTTATTGACTTGACACTTAGTTCTACTGACTTTACTCCGATGTAGACATGATGTATTTCATTGCTTATAAAAACTGATTATCAATTCTATTGCAATATCTGTCATCTACGTTTTAATCCACTCGACTGATTAGTCGTTTTAGAGAATAATTAATCTCGAAATGATGAATGGTTTAACGGGTACAAGAGATTTCAGGCATTTGCAATGTTTCTAGATAAACATTTAACTTCTAAGAATGCCCCTTATCTAGATTTTTTACCAAGCATCGACGACAAAACTAATTCGGTGGATGATGATGGGTAAGTTACTAATCCTATCAAAACCTCAGTTTCTACTGCGTGAGAGACTAACGAGATAAATTGAAGGAGTGGGTAAGAATAAAGGTAAAAAAGTTCTGGAGATAAAACAGAAAATCTGTAAAGAGGATACCACACTGTGCAATCGGCATCAGGTGAAAATTCGCCTTTGTAATTGTACGGCAAGGTTTCACGGAGGGACACTTCTGCTAGAAAAGCAACATTTGTCTGTCACCTGCTTTGTAATTCTAATATTATCCTATGACCAGCGTTCTGAACAAGCTCCAAATTTCTAATATCTATCTTTGAAAGCACCACTGAGGACTCACTACACATCGCTATTTTGGTTCGCCACTTCCAAAATTGTTGCTTAATAGATAGAACTCAGTAATAAATGGTAGGAGGCTTTCAGTTACTCTAAACTGTTCCATTTTTTCTTCATAAAATTTGAAACATTATATAAAACCTCCCTGTATTTAATAGATAATGAAATAAATTAGAGTAGAGAAGTGTGAAATACCTCCACCGTTGCTCGCCGATGAAGACGTGGCTGTGAGCATCATTCGAACAATATCCTCTTCACTGTAATCTGGAGTCATTGGGCGGTCTGAATCAAGGAGAAGACTGAAGTCGGGAGTTTCCCTATCACTGTCCTCAATGCTGGTGTTGCTAATTCCGGGTGATTGAGGAAATCTGGCATCGAATTGACGACAATCCTGGAAATGAGAACAAAAAACAAAGTAAGCACTAAATAACCTAAGAATGTGTTTATTTATAGTGGCTTCAGTCACCTTGAGAGCATTTAAACGGGTTGAATTTTATGATGTGGGCTTAATACGATCACACTGGTATTCAACTTCTGTCCAAGTGTCTATCTAACAATCTTAAGACAGAAATCTCTCCTTCCCCTTAGCAAATATATGATAATACACAGTCTCCCTCTGTAAATCAGTGCACAATTAGTTGCGATGACTTCTCCGTTATTGTGGTACTTGGTAAAAAACCGCTCTGTCTTATCACTCTCACTCTCCCTCTGTAACCTCCGTTCGTACTTAAAATTGGTAGTAGATAGGTGTAACCATTTAATATAAAAAAACGAAAAATAATGACTGTTTAACGATTTCTTACTAGTAGGGATGTACAAACAAAGGTAACACGATCAATTACCCAATTCCATCGACTGGGGGATAAGATCAACTTAATAAAAACATGGAATACTTGGGTCAAATTTTGAAATATCGGACACTAGGAAGTGAGGATGGTGAATTCCAATTTCAAGTGAAGAACGACTCCATTGAATCTCTGATTCCGTTTCTTAATCCTACTTGACTATCCCTTACACTTAATTCGATTCCTTCCCACTATTAAGATGTGATGAAATTTCAATTTCAGATTGCCAAGGGAAAACACTTTCTCATTTTAATATTGAAAAGCATTTAAAGACATCAAATTTGGGAGAGTTCATTCGCAAGCACTAGGTAAAGCTGTGACAAATCCAAGGATTGAGCATGTACTTAAATTAATATTCTCTAAATGCTATTGAGCAAATCGATAAACTTTATTTCAAGTTTTCAATTTAGAATGCTCCAGAGAGTTCATTTTAATTGGTTAGATATAAAAAGGGCGATAAATATAAGCAATTAAATTTGTGTACCATCCATCATGCGTCTGTTTCGATCTAGACATGAAGCTTAAATCTTTTGGTTCTTTATGGATGCAATTAAACATTTGCGCTATTAGTAAATTACCAAATCTTATCTTTAAATCTTACTGAATTCGGTAAAACATAAAACAGTCGAGCACCACACCCCATAGTTCAGAATGTAATTTAACGCAAGACGTTACCGCTATACTCCCATACCTGTTTATTTAAATCAAAAAAATTGTCATATGTTTTTAAAATATAAATGTAAAATAATCTACCCAGAGCCCACACGTAAAATAGGAATTTACGAATAATATTGAGGAAAGGACAGTAATTCTAAACTACATGGTTAAAAGTATTGAGTTAAAATGAGTACGCCCTAAGATATTTCACGTAACAGCATATGATAAAAGAAGTTCTTGTCAAATATAACCAAAGACAAAGCTGATTCAATAGAATAAAAGAGGGTTTTAGAAGAAATATTAAATATTGTGGCAAAGAGATAAAATAAAAAAGAACAGCGACCATTGTGGGTAAACCACAGGAGCTTGCATTTTCCATAGTTGAACAATCGACATAGAAATAGACGTGCTTTAACATAAAGAAAATATTCCGTGGTGCAGGTTTACAATTACCGGGAAGGACATTAATTAGCCAAAAGTGAAATCCGATCATGACTAGCAGAGATAATAAATATCGAGCCAAAAAGAAAACGAAGAGAAAAACTGAAGTTCATGAAAGAATAAATTTTCTAAAAGATAATAATGACATACAGAACATAAGGGCGGGTCACAGGCCGGATGAACAATAGGCTGCCTGCGAGATAAGTTAATCGGCAATGAAATCGAGGGCCTCGAATAATCAAGTTCTACACCGTCTGGAACTGTTTCAAAGCGATCAAATCTGCGACGAAGTGAAAATGGCGTGCCACCAACACCACCAGGTCTGCTATTTGAGGCTACTCGAGCAACAGTTCTCGGCGATGGCATGCACTTGGGAGGTATCTGACTACTGAAAACACCGTAATGCGAATCAAGCATGGTGCTATTGATTTATTAACTAAAGACTAGTATGAACCCTAACATATTCGCATTAAGTTCAGCAAACCGCTGAAATCTGCATAAAGAGCCAACGATGGACCCACTGAAACTTGAAAAACTCGCCAGAGTCTTAACATATTTAAACAAAACATACTTTATAAGAGCGAAAACTACTAGTTATATTTTTAATAATATGGGAATCGAATTATTATTTTTGCAAAAAAATATAACTGCGAAACTATATCGATTTTTCTTCTGAAGCGACTTGAGGACACAGTTAGTTATTTAAAAATATTTCACAATATAGATTTTAAGTTAGATATGCTTCCAATTGCTCTTTGTACATTTAGCTTATTCTTGCCCTTTGAAAAACAATAAGGGGTCTGTGATTTCGTTGTCTTTTAAAAATTTATTCATGTCCTTTTAGAAGCCTGTGAACTTTCTGTCTCCAAATTCCTATTTTTACTAATTAATCTTATTAAGATTAATCTGGAACGTTACATTTACGATCTTCAAATAAATTGATTCTACCTTGTTTGACTCAAAATTTAACCCATGGATTTCAGTGTGAACAATTATGTTCGGGATCTCAATCAATTGATTTGGATCAAAGAATTACCTTAAACTCTTTAGTAAATTTCAATTTTCGAAAGACACCGACATAATGTTTCTTCGACGGTAGCAGCATAATTGAATAAGAATTATATGATCCATACTCGGAACTCACTAGAACTACCTTGGATTAAAACTTTACGTTTAGGTACCTATTAGTTAAATAAAACAAATTAAGCATGCTGAAATTGATCAAACCTTAAGAGTCTTCATTTAGATAATGATTACTTGTTTGATTCGTAATGCTTTATTCAAAAACTACAGATCAGATTATTACAGTCTGTAAAACATCATAAATAAACAAAACAATATTCATTTACAAGAATAGGGCCGATATCTGAAGGCTTACCAGTCATTTCTTTTAGCAACCTCCTTCGTCTCCCTCCCCTTCAGCTTCCCTCTCGCCCTTTCTTTTTAGAAAGGCAACCGAATTTCCTATATAGGCAAATGTGATGGTCAGATTTCCTGTTTGCGAAATACTTCCTACATACAGGCATCAACCACAGCTATAATTATGTTGCCCAGACAGTCTTCTTCTCTGTAGACCTTGATCTAGGATAAAATAGACAATTTAGCTATGCATAAGTTACTCGTTAGTTAGCCTTCTGAAGATGAAAAGATTAACAATGACCGACTAGTTGTCTTTTGAATATATTCGCTGTTAACATTTTTGACGTCGTTTCCCTTTTACTCATTCCAATATGACCTCAAACATTATTTATATCAAATGGCAGGCGTTTCGATAGTTATCATTAGCCCTTAAGTTGACTTCAGGCTTCATAGAGGGAGAAGGTAACATCAAAGTGAAAAAAAGTCGAGAGTTGGGGGGGGGGGGGGGGGGGGGGATGGGGGAGGAACAGAAGAGTGTTTCAAAGATGTAGAAGGGACAGGCACAAAGGTAGAGGAAAAGGTAAAAATGAATACTGTGAAAGTGGCCGAATATGACATACAGTGGGGTCATGGTAGTTTGAAGTCAGAAGTCAACTGCCAGTTAATAGACTTTTTTGCCGTATGAGTAAACGTTCCCCAGGGTGCACCACGAGGAGATAAGTCTATCGTACACCCCGACCTCAAACATAGTTTTCAACATTTTCAAAACCTTAAAAATCCTTTAACGCTCAGAGTAAGCGCTAGGCACAAAACAACAGGGGAAACTTTTTAAACTTAAAGAACGAAGACAGAGGGAGTGAAGGACAACTTTAATTTACTAAATTCTTTTGATTAAACCTAATGGTAGTGTAGCGGATTGCTATCTTAGTAAAGCCTGACTGACTCATCTAGCTAGACTCCCAGAACCAACTAAGCTATAGCCCAGCTATAAAGGAAACAGACGTGTAGCACGGAGCACGTTTATTCAGGACGTACATTGCGGATAAAGTGTGTACACGCAGGGAGCTACTCATGATCAGGATGGGGGATTAGGTTAAACAGAGGTTGATGATTGGTCACTGTTTGTACGGTCGCTGCACACAGAGTTGTACGGCCGCATCTCCCAATCCTGGCGAGCAGACATGCGGGCATACGATGACGCACAGAGCGATAATGTGGCCCACAGTAGGACTTCCTTTGTATATCCCAAAAGTTGATAAAGAAAAAATGTCGTAATGTGATACAATTTCTAAGACAAATATTACATTTTTAAATGGATTTCTTTTAAATTTTATAACTTTTCATTCTTTAAAACGTAAGAAATTGCAATGATACAGATTTAACCACTTCTTTACAGCAACTCCTCCGTATCTTGGAACTACTCAAAAAATTTAGGTGTTATCGACCGATCGACCTCTGCTCCTTTTAGACCACTCTTCTCTACCAACCTATTTTAAGATTGCTCGTGAAATTCGAATGCATCTTTCTTGAAAGAAGATGACTTGTAAACTCATTCTTCCCATTGAGTTCACAGAAGCTTCCTAATGGTAAAAATTCATTCAAAGATATCACAGAAGAAGCCTCTTCTATCACAAGGACATTTGGGCTACCTCCTTCATATTGCCAGGAACAGTACTGTCAGAGACTGAATCAATATCCTCTTCTAACGTCCCCTCGGAAACTCTGTTTTCGAAACTGGGATATTTTTAGTAGGTGTAGCAGTTACTAACATTTCTACCACAGCCATATTCTTATCATGTAAAACAATTAACAGATCAACCAAGTTTCGCAAATCTACGTCGTTTGAAATAATAATATTGTACAACTAATTTGAAGAAGCTTCACAATGACGCTCTAAACTAGCATTTCCTGGGTCGTTTCGACAATTAAAACCGCCTTAAACTTCTGAAGTAACACAGACGCAAACCAGAGCTCCCGGTTTTGAAGAGTGAAAGAATTTCCGTTATCTTTAAGCATACAGCGTCAGTAGCAGTGGGATTATTGACTAACCACCATAGAAAATTTACTCCCGTGTAACGTGTTGAATATATATATATATATATATATATATTCCCTCTAAAATCGAATGCCATTAGGAAGATTTGTCTTTTGACGAATCACTGCATTCCTCATAAAAAATTTAGGCTAAACAACGGATATGTGCAGGGAGTTAGGTGGAAACTTTTGGAAATAGTATTTTGTTTCTGTCTGGATGAAAATGTGAGTGGATGGCTCGAACTCACGTGAATTATGGAAGAGAATAACTTGTGTCTTTATGTTCCTTACGGTCCATCAAAGCAGGGACTTTATGATCGCTTCTCAATGCTCCCAAGTAGCGTGAAAGCAATCAGGTAAGAGCTGGATGATTGTAAAATAGAGTAGGTGACCTGTGTGGGTAGAAGAAAGTAACCTAGCAGATGAACTGATGGGATTGCGTTCGTAAAAATAGAAGCATTGGACCAAATTGACATCTTGAAATTGGCTTTGTTGTAACAGTTAATTGACTACCTCTGTTTCTATCATGATGATTCTACTCAATGAAGACCTTCGCTACCGCAAGATTACACACAAATATCACAGCAAATGGGGTGTGCGATAGACATACCTCCACGTGGTGCTCTCTGAGCAACGCATACTCATACGGCAAGAAGTCTATTAATCACCAGTTGACTTCTGACTTCAAACTACCATGACCCCACTATATGTCATATTCGACCACTTCCCCCTACCTTTTCTCCGCCTTTGTGCCTGTCTGTCTGTCTCTTTCACACCTGTGAATCATTATTCTGTCCCCCCTCTCGACATTTTGTCACTTTGATGTTCTTCCTCCTCTCTATGAAGCCCGAAGCCAGCTAAAGGGCTAGTGCTAACTATCGAAACGCCTGCCATTTGATATAAATAAATATCACAGTTGATAATCTTTCACAAACAAGACCCACGAAAACTATTTGACAAAGGCGAGATATTTCTGAGTAAAGTAGAACATAATATAAAGCACAAACAATTTGGTTCTTTACATTTGAAAAGAAAACCTTTCTTAATATGAAAAGTAAAACAGGCAGAGTAGCAGGTCGCTTGCCTGGGTTATAGTTCTAAAGACTCTCATCTTGTCACGCGGAAAAAATTTCCGAAAATGTTATGCTCTCGGATGTGATGTCTCCCTCAACATTTGTTTCAAGATGGGCCTAGGTTTAATTCAGATGCGTATATATGAGATTGCTGATCACTTAAATGAGTAAGCCCTAAGTGAAAAGTGATTACGAAGCACTAGGCGTGACTACACAGACCAAAGCCAGCCCTTCATCCCCTCTACCCGAACTCCTCCGCCTCCGCCTCATCACTCAGATCTCTACGCAATAGTCTATAATTCATGTATTGTGAATTAGAGAGACAGGCACTAACCGCCGTCCCATTGATACCGAAGCCAACCAGTTGATGAGTCGAAATAAAGCAGCTTTTTTAGCTCCTTCAAGGGAAAAGTCAATACATATTGAGACTGTGACGGACGTTAATGATGGCTATTTTGTGAGTTTCTTTGTGCATTAACTAGTTTTATTTCCATTACGTCCAATAAATTTTTCTTGATGTCGTTGAAATTGTTAAATTTATCCCAAAACCTTATGTGAAAATTTACATCACTCTCCTCAATCTCCCAGATACAAATCACGTAGGAATGTTATCCGATTGAATAACGGTTATAACACAGGATTTTTTGCGTGAGATTCGGCCCTAAATTGTCTAAAAATATAATCACCTGCCATGTCGCATTGCTGCCCGCATTAAGCAACTAAGCTTTGATCTCATTGCCAAGTCAGCCCCCGCAACTCATAAAAACACATGGTTATCTCGCACGCGCCACCCTTTCAAGCCCCCAAACTCAAATTCTGTAAACCAGACCGATATGGTAATGATGTGGGGGAAACTGTTAACTATTCCATTAACAAGTAAACTACATACAAGTCCCTACTTACCGTTTATGGCTCTTTTTAATTTAAGCATACAATATCAACTGATGTATT